AAATTAGTTTGTTAGGTTTTTGCGGAGGGAGGAATAACCAGAGAACCCGGGGAAAGACGCTGAAATCTTAGAATGGGCTTCCTGTGGTTGACCAGCGGTAGATCCCCCAAAATAAATATCAAAATGGCGGCAAAATCAAGCAGAGCTCTTCACCTTTCCCATGCCACTTCAAATATTCCTCTAACAAGGTAAGTTAAACTTCAATTTTAATTCGAAAACAGCGGTTTCGATCCTATATTTAATTTGCTACATGATAATAATTGTACTAAACGAATGCCCGCATAAGGGAGAAGCTAGCAACTGAGCTAGTCGTTCATTTAAATATCTTAGTCATGGTACTGCGTCCAAGGAGAGTCTTTTTTAGGAGAGAGTTTGCCTGTTTGGCTTCAGTGCCACTCAATATAATGCACATCAACTATGATATTTCATATTTCACTCCTAATACCCAAGCATTAGTTATAGGACATGTTTTGAGGCATTGTGTATTAAAATCATAATTATTCTAGTCCTAATCTATATTGCCTAAGTTTCCAGTATTATTTCAATGATATGTTAAACTATTTTTAGCAATGGTGCATGTGGTATTAGAATTTCAAGTACTAGTTTGTTGAGATACATTTTTGATCATGGAAGATTTGAAGTTTATGTGTTATAATAAGGGCGGATCCAGGGTTTTTTTGAAGGGGGGTCTCAGGGGTAAATTTTGTGGGCAAGGGAATCCCAGTTGCATTTTTACCACAAGAAGCCCATTTGACCTCAGGAATGACAGGGGGGTTGCGACCCCCCTGACCCTCCCCCTGGATCCGCCCTTGTATAAGATTAATCTTCCTGCTAGAGAAAACAATTAATATCTTCAAGTACATAATGATAGGAATATTTTAGGACAATAAACCCTTTCTGCTTGCTTTCCCATTTCAGACCACATGCAGGCATCCCAGACCTATATTTCCTATAATTTGTATAGGATCCTATAAAGAGCCTATATTTAAAGAAAACCTCCTATATTTCCTATAAATAGGACAACTGCTGAGTGATTCATTTATACTTTACGATGTTTAGCATATTTGGCGAAGGAAATAAATTGGCCCTCTTTTTTTTTTTGGTTCTGTTTTTTTTAATGGCCTTTTAGTTCTGCAAATCATTGCCTGTGCACCCTCCCGATCCCTGGTTATGCCACTGAAAAGCTATCTTAGCTCCTATAAAGTGCCTATATTTTTGGGAAAAACTCCTTTATTTTCCTATATTTAGAACTTGCACAGCCTATATTTCCTATCAAATTTGTCTAAAAAGTGGCTGGGATGCCTGCACATGTCATTTCCTATAGTACCCTTTCACTGTTTAACAGTCATGCACTAAAAGACATACATGTTAATTTTGATATGACTCAAACAAAAAATCTCATGCTTAAGGGAATGAAATGTGATCTTAAATGGAAAAAGACATTCGGACCAAGCTGAAAAAGACTTTTACAAGCATATTTCATGTATATGCAACTGAAAGACACATGATCTGGAAAAAAACATTATGCTCTTGCAAGCTGAAAGGGTCTATTCCTAGAATATTTCATGTAATGCCTCTTACCTCGGATCATAGCAGCACTCCTTGCATCCTGCCTTTTCATTGCGCTTCATGTTTTCAAAATACCTTGGGAAGTAGCCAAAATGATATTCCTCGGGGACGAATGGTTCACTTCCATGAGGATGACTTTGTTTGTGTGGTGAACGTTCGTTATCTGTGATATAATTAAGCTTTCATTTTATTCATCTTGTATTGAGCTCAAGATAATGGCCCATCAGTTGCCTGTCTTGATCACAGGCCAAATTAGTTTTAGCTTTATCATACCTAGTTTCTTGCTAAACATCACTAGTGAAAATGACTGCTGAGACAAAGATTTGACTGGACAAGTCCCTTTTTTTTTTCCCCTTTCTTTCTTTCTTTCTTTCTTTCTTTCTTTATTCCTTTATTTCTTCCTTCCTTTTCCTTTTCCTTTTCCATTTCTTTTCCTTCTTTTTTTCCTATTTTTCTTGACTTTCTTTTTCCCATCTGCCCATCTGCCCATCTGCCATTCTGCCCTTCTAAGCCCTTCTTTCCTTTTATTATTTGTCAACTCGTTCACTAGTCTTGTTTACTTGTTTAGCTGCTTTGCCTACCACTCCTTGCTTATTTTGAACTGCCTTATTGCTTACCTCTCTTTTTTTAAATTAGTTTTAACTTGGTTACTTGAAATCTTTATGTTTTTATTTCTTTATTTATTTTCTTGTAATAGTGTTCTACTTATATTTTACTGGCCTTTCCTGAATGTTAACTTGTCAAATTCTTTCTTTCAAACTGACGTTTATCTTTTTTTCCCTTTTTCATTTTAACCTTATATTCTTTCCAACCTTTCTCTTTCCAGTATTTTAACTTCTTCAAAGTTGATTTTTTTTGTGGAGTTTAAATCATTATCTGTTTGGGCTAGTATTAAAGGCCCAAACAAGGCTAAAGTTTCTTTTTTTTTACCACATAAAATATAATTATTGGTTAACAAAAATGTAGATAGTATAGAGGAAAAAAGAAAGTAAATCAGAAATGTATATTTTTCAATACTTGAGCTTATTTTCCTGCTTTGATATATTATGAGAATTTTTCAAGGTATACGCACTCTAGAATTAACAATAATTGACCAAAAAATGTATTTAAACTTACGAGGTGGAGCGCCTTCACTGGGGTGAAAAATGCCCAAGGCCAGAATACAAAATGCCACCAAAGCTTGTACTTTCGACATTATTTTGTTCTTCTCTTCAACTTGTCTTCGCTAAAGCTCTTGTGCTGCTCCCAGATGCTTCAACCAATTGATCTTATGTTCAACTGAACCCTTAATTTCAACTCTTTCAACCAAACAGTCGCGGAAGTATTATAAATGTGCACAGCTGGAATATCAAGTAATGTTACAATGGCACCGTTGTTGAAAATTTCTTGTTCTATTAATTTTTTATAGAGAGATTATTTGCTGACAAAGAAATTTAATTTCTTTAAAGCTCTAAGGTTAATTTTAATTAACGGCTTCACGTTTTGATGAGAAGTCTAATTTTAAATTGTAGGGCATTTATATGTTTTTGTGTGTTGATTATTGGGAAATTAATTTTCGCAACGGGACGCCTTAAACTGGTCGTGAAGTAAAACGTCTAAATTGCATTGGAACCTTCATTTGGTGAGGCTGTTTTGGGCTTCTATTCATTGTTCAAGCAATAACTTAAAACTTTTTGACAGAATTTCTTTTAACGCTGCTTTGAAAAGAAAGAAAACCGCTTTCGTTTAGACAGAGGTCTAAAAAAAAAAAAAAAAAAAAAAAAATCAAAGAACCTGGTGTTTTAAAAGTTTTGTTTTTTAAATGAGGTCTAAATTATTATGGTTGAAAGACGTTTTATTGGTTTTTTACTCCTTCGCATTTCAGTTTATCTGTCATCACTTAGAAATCGAAACCTTGATTACTATGATAATTTTTTTTGCTAGAAACTTTCTTTAAATCCTAAGTAAGACAGTGCTGCTTTAAACAGGATATTTTACTGCCCCAGAAAAGTTTTGTATATTTAATGAAGCCTCCTTTGACGTCACATCATTACCATCTTGATATCTCCAAGATGCATCACTCAAACCATATAAAAATATTTTACTATTTAACTTTTAGCTTCATGTAGAATCAATGCTGAAAACATTGAGTTAGGTGTCATAGGCACTTTAATTTCAAGGTCTGTCAAAATCATCCATAAAGCAAAAATGCGATAATTTAATTAAATTATCAGCCATAATTCAGTTCTCGTTTCATTTTATTTTTATTAGTATTACGGGGGATCTATTTTTATTGACAGTTTCTGTAGCCGTATATTTCTATGGTTTTTTTACTTCCATAGTTTGGAAATACTATGTTGGAAGTCGAAACTTCCAACATATTTCCAACATCTCAAATCGATAGATTTTTCCATTGTATAACTATGGGCTAGTAATAAAAAGATATAACTAGCTAAAAACTAGTGTGAGCTGCGTCGGTGTTTCTAATGAAACAGTAATGATGAAAAGATAAATTATACACCGTGAAAAGATAAATTATACACCGTGAAAAGATGAAAAAACGTACTGACGTTTCGGACGCTAGTCCTTCGTCGGAGTAAAAGAGAAAGAAGTGGTTATGGGCTAGTAATAGACGTACCATGAACACGCTGTGCATAGGGGATTTCCGTCACGATTGTATTTCAAAAATGATAAATCTCAAACCTTCCTTACCCCACCTCAAGTCTTATTTATGATCACTGACAAAAAAGGGTAATCGTAGTTGAAAGGGTTTGAAAGACGTGATGGAGACAAAAGATCTTTGTATTGCCGTCACTATTTAGCTTTTTTTATATTTTTATTGATAGTGTTTTCCGGTACTCTTGGGGTACAATTATTTCGAACTCAAAATTAGATATTATGGGCACTGCATGTCGGAAGATGTTGGACTTTAAAATTTTTGAAATGGTGGCTATGATGTGAAATGTAATACAATTGTTTAACGCCGTTAGCCAAACTTGTTAGGAAAAGAACCAGAAATCGTTACTTCCGGTTCTAAAGGGAGTGAAGCACAGAAAAACATTATTGCAAAGCAATCATGCACTCGCCCCTCACCTCTGGGGTATCCGACTTGATTCTTGATCTCAGCTTCACATGTAAGCATAGTTTGTTTGGTCTTTCCTTGATTTGATTTTTTTTTGTTTTTCCTGGTTCAGTTCCGGCCTCCGCGAAACCTAACACGCTAAATTTCAATTCGATCTTTGAGCTAGCCACCCTGACTTTGGTCAGTCCAGGGCTTGTTTCAGCCATAGTTAATAGAGGGGAATTATTAACTATTATTAACCATTAACTATGGTTAGAAGTGCCCTGCGTTTTATCAGCCCAGAGTTTGTTTTAGGGCTCGATAAAATTTGAAGGTATTTTGTAAAGGTATCATCCGTGATCAAAGAAATAAGGTTAAAAAGACAAACAAATCAATAATAGTTGTTTATTTGTGATTTATTAGTTATACTATTTATACGACATTATCCCAACAGTTACACTTCACCACTAATAAATTACTAGCTATCTATGTCGCAAATCGAGAAAAATGATTCAAACTCTCAATTGAATTTCTTTAAATTGTAAAGATTTGAGTATGTATATATATATATATCTATTTACTTGCAATCAAAATTTTCAGGCCCAAACGTGTTTTAACAAACTCAATATCCCTTGTGTTTTATATCGTGAATCTGAAATATACTTTACTATTTTCMTTCGGTTTTGTTTTGGAATGATTATCCTTAGTCGGATATCAAATGCGTTGAGCAATTGACGTTACTTCAAATATAGTATTCCCTAATTCAACGAGGTAAGAGATGCATTGAAATCCGGCCTTTTAGAGTAACATTTTAGTATGCTAATAGAAAATAATGTCAGCAATTCTCCGTTGTCCTTCGTGCTTTAAAAAGTGAAACAAAGGAAAGTGGGAAAATGTTGTTTTCCATAGCAATTTGAAAGTCTTTTCTATGACCTAAGATTAGCATCTTTTTAAACTCTCTAAGTTGTTATTTACTAATTTTATCTTATACTTTGTCATTTTCTTTGTTAAGATAAACTGATATCGTTCGCTTTTTGGTGTTAGGGTATTTTATATCCATACTTTTCTTTACCACTTCCACGCTAGAGTAAAAAAGAAAAATCCACGTTAAAGATATGTTCTGTTGACTTTTCAAAACTTTTTTTTTTTTACACAGATTTGAAAACAAAATTTTCAAAATACTGCATTATAGTAAGATTATTTCAAGTTTTCAATACCGATAGGTTCAATGTTACTCGTGGCGTTTTCCTCTTGCCATGCAGCAACGCTTAGAGCAGTAGGATGGGCAAAAGCTCTGTGTACTACAGGACGAATGACAGGGTTGGTTTGATAATGGAATCTGCATCAATGAAGCCAAATTGGGATTCTGAGGTACCTTGATCTGAATTGGTGTAGACTTCAGCTTAATAATAACTGGCTTAAACTTGGGCTGTTTAAACTTAAGTGGCTTGCATGGGTTAGTGGGGTTAGGTAAACATTTAGGGTAGTTCATCCCCGGGATAAGAGGTACTCCTAGGGGGCTAGGGATAGCTGATCCATAAGCTGAACCATATGGATTATAAGGCATTGATTGAACTGGGGGAGTCACTTGGTGTTGGTGATAGTCAATACCTCCATAAGATTGGTAAGGTGTGGTGTTCTTGGCAACTGCCTTTGCGTTCTTTGGCTTTGGGCGAGCGACTGGCGCACGTTTAACACAAGGATTCATTGGGCTTGGTAGACATGGATTGCTTCCTGTAAACTGGATCATTGGGGGTTGTGGGATGTATGGTGGTGGTGGTCCTGGTAGAAYATAACCACTTATAAATGGTGATGTCATTCCATTGAGAACCAATGGTTTTGGGGCRCCAGGTGCTTTTGGTTTCTTGGGTGCAGGTTTTTTGGCCTTAGCTTGTTTTGGAGGGCATGGATTGTATGGTGTTGGGACACATGGGTTGCCGAAGGGCATCTGCATTGGCATTGGTTGTTGCATAGGCATTGGCATTGGCATTGGCATTGGCTGTTGCATAGGCATTTGCATTGGCATAGGCATTGGTGGTGCCATTCCAAAACCTCCGCATGGCATAAATGGAGGAGGACCGCAACGCTTTACTGATGTTCCCTTCTTTTTGCCCTTTCCTTTCTTAGCTGCTTTTGGCTTTTTGCATGGATTTGCTGGGGTTGGTGTACATGGGCTTCCAAAAGGCATTTGTGGTGGCATCATTGGYGGTGCCATTGGAGGAGCCATTGGAGGAGCACATGGGTTCATTGGTGGTGCACCACAGGGAGCACCTTGAGGCATTTGTGGTGGCATCATTGGTGGGGCCATTGGAGGAGCCATTGGAGGAGCCATTGGAGGAGCCATTGGAGGAGCCATTGGAGGAGCCATTGGAGGAGCCATTGGAGGAGCACATGGGTTCATTGGTGGTGCACCACAGGGAGCACCTTGAGGCATTTGTGGTGGCATCATTGGTGGGGCCATTGGAGGACGCATTGGTGGAGCACATGGGTTCATTGGTGGAGCACCACAGGGAGCACCTTGTGGCATTTGTGGTGGCATCATTGGTGGTGCCATTGGTGGAGCCATGGGCATCTGCATTCCCATTGGAGGGCCGCATGGGTTCATTGGTGGAGCACCACACGGAGCAGAAGAACCTCCTGCAACAACAGACCTTTTGCCATAATGTGCAGTATATCCTTGAAGATTAACGGCTCCTTTCATTTGTGGGAGAGGAGCAGCTGGAGTTTGACATGGATTCATTGGGGTTGGTGTGCAAGGAGGAGCCATTGGAGCAGCCTGATATGATGGGGCTGCCTGATATGATGGAGCAGCATATCCGTAAGAAAATGCTGGAGTTTGGCATGGATTCACAGGAGTTGGAGTACAGGGTGCGGCTTTTGGTGCCTTTGGCTTAGGAGGAGGTGGCTGCCATCTATTGAACAAAATTGTTTAGATTAGAGATGATGGAAAACTGAGTATAGAACTTCAGACTGCGTTAAACATTATTTTTTACTGACAAAAATATAAGTTAGAGAATGATCATAAACCTTGATTATTGAAATTTATAACGTTGTTTGTCGTTCGAGGAATAAAAAAAAGAAAGTCAAAGAATCTTATTTTAAAGGAGCTTCAACTGAACAAGCACTACACCTATATCAAAAGAATACATCGGTAAATCAGATTCAAAAGAAGATCACAAAGTCTTAGCGTTGCTCATTGAGTTTTTGATGGTTCATTTTATGGTCAAAATAAAGGTGCATCGAAAATGAGAGACTTACTTTGGCACGTGGAAAGTTGGTCTTGGTGATTGGAACGAGTAGATAACCTTTGGTTTTGATGGTTTTGGTGCAGGTGCAGGGGCAGCTGCCTGACCACATGGGTTGTATGGTGTTGGGTAGCAGGGGGAGTAAGAAGATTGGTAACTTGAGTAGGTTGGTGGTTGGAAACAGCAATTTGGACTGCAWGCTGAACTACATGTACTTGCACATGATGTGTCGCAAATTAATTGTTTCATGGGTTCGCTTCCTGTTTTGTAGAGATAAAGAAAAACCACGATCAATCGCAAGAAAGAAGATAAGAAAATATATCAGGGTGCGTCGAACCCTCTTTTATGCCACTAATTTGCCCCAAACTATAATACATAGCATTCTTGGAAATGTAAGATTGACATTCGTTTTCCTAGTGAACACGCTGATKCATGGTCATGGTTCCACCCATGGCTAGAGGTCGTTTATATTCTGTACCTGGAGGAAGAAGCTTGACTGAGAGAACCTTTGTTTCCTGGCTAAGAGGCGCAGCGCTTCGTTGCTTGTTCTTCGTAAGATAATCTTGGAATACTTTGGTTGGATCAGCTGGAAGGTTCTGCTTGCCAAACTTGGCTACAATCGTTACTTTGGTTTTCTTTGGTGGACTAAAACGAAAATGGATGTTACTTAACAATTTTTTTTGTTCTGCACAAAAAAGAATTATATGATTTTTTCAYAAAATTGTTAGTCTACTTTCGACCTCAGCGTCTTTCGTGTTTTTTTCTATTGAGGGTAGACTCTTATTAAGGGTAGATTGACTATGATCATCATCATACCGGATGCTTGGTTGGCAATAGTCCTTCACTAAGATGTAAAGGGCATTGAAACGCTCGTAAAATGCGCCGGTTATCTTTGTATGAGCATAATGAACGCCAACCAAAACTTACGTTTTAGGCTTAGCCTTAGCCTTAGCCTTCTTGGACTTATCTTCAAAGCTTTCCAAAAAGTTATCTTCAAGGTTGTCACTTGAATCAGACAGACTGTCAGAATATGGCACAGTTGGACTCACTGATGAAGGCATAGCTGTTGCAGTTGGCTCGAGCTGTCTCTTTCCCATATAGTGCCCCGAGAAGCGACTGCCCTGGTAAGGGTTGTATCCATATCGTGAGGCGTAAGGATTCTGGGGATATTTGCCTTTACCCTTTGGCTTTGGCTTTGGCTTTGGCTTTGGCTTTGGCTTTGGCTTTGGCTTTGGTTTGACCGTACCATCACTGTATAACATAAACAGAGTTTGATAAGTCTTTTTGAGTTCTTTATTTCGAAAGTTTTAGTCAAAGTTTTCCAGTTTTCCTCCCTCCGCAATACCCCAGTAACTAAATTCAAATTTCAACTGTAAATTATATTAAGCCCTGACTTAAATTAGCCCAGACTTAGATCAGACTTAGATAAAATATTTTTGGGTTTTTATTATGTCGATTGTGGGTTTATATTAGGGCATAATATAGATAAATGTTATGCAGCTTTTAGATATCAAGATCGATAGATGCCAGGTTTTGGCACGCGACTTACCTAACCTCAACCACAAAAACTTTGACGAAGCTGGTGGATTTCTTGTAAGTAGCTTTGAACTAAAAGAAAAGAGAGTTTTAAGTTTGGTTATTATATTTTTTGACTACGTATTTTTGTCTTTCGCGATTTGGTAATAATTTCCTGTAACGAAAGATATAGTAATTATTATATAGATATCGATGAAATACCAGGTTTTCTCTATTGTCGAAAACTTGATATCTTTCACCAGTGGATGATACCACATCTTTCACACGTGAAGATATCGCTGTTGAATCGGCTTGCTATTTTAATAAAGAATTTTTGAGCTTTTGTTTTATTTAAGTTTCATCGATATCTATACAATAAACAGAACATTACATGGCCGCTTGGAGATACGAATTTTATCTYCTCGTGTTCAATTTAGATATCTCACTCGTTCGCTGCGYTCACTCGTGAGATAACAATTGAACACTCGAAGATAAAATTCGTATCTCCGCGCGCCCATGTAATATCCTCTATATACGCTACGCGCTACGCGCGAATAGAAAATACTAATACTTGGTTGCTGTTTTACTACATAAGAGCATAAAAGTGTATTGTTTTCGAGTACTTACTGCTGCTTCAATTTTAGCGTTYAGCTTTTGACGAGAGATTGATCCTTGGTCACTGAACTCTTTCTGGTAGTTCAGTTTGGGCATTTCGAGAGATACTTGGTATAGAACATTTCCTTTAAAACAGAGGAAAAAAGAAAAAAACACTCTTGTTTACAGTTCTAAAATGATTAACGATAAGCAAATCAGGTAGAAGAAAGATGAAATCACAGCTCAAAGTGTTTAGAAACTTTTGACTTAAAAAGTGAGAGAAATGGACTAACAGTCATACATTTAGACAGAGAAGGAATGCGCAAGCCGCTCTGTAGTGTGTAGGGGGAAAAGATGAATGTTCGAAGTGCAAGACAGCGCAAAGACAGAGTGAGTTAGAAAGACAGACTCACACACCGACTGSTRRGCAGACAGATAGACAGGGAGACCGATGGACAGACAGACATACAGATACACAGACCTATAGACAGACAAAAAGAGTGAGATAGAGTACGGCAAGCAGACTCTTGATTATCCCTGCGATATTTTAAGCACCAACCTTCCAGTGGCTTTTTGCAGATGAATTGTTGTTTTTCTGTGCATTTTCTGTCGTACATTGTTCCAAAAGTAGATTTGAAATTAATTGCAACGCAGTTCTGACCCTTTCCTTGTGGTTCCCCTGTCTTCCAGTTCAAGTGAGACACGGGGGATCCGTCAACATAGCTGTACATTCCTTCTTTAACTCTRTCATTTAGACCTGCAACAATTCAAAATATAGTAATAAGCAAATGCATTTTTYCCCAGTATTTCGATAGCCTATTCTCCCATTCTATTTTATTTTATTCGTTTTGTGGTTTTACTTACCCACCCACAGAAGCTTCGTGGGATTTTTACGTGGCATAGCTTTGAGTGCATTTTCAACAGCAGCGTTCTTGATATCTGCGACTACAGCATTCTCCTTTGCGCACTCAACTACAGCTCCCATCCAGTTCTTCTTAGCAGTGTGATGCTTGTAGCATGTGCCTTGGTATTCAGTATATCCCTTTTGACACTTAACTAAATAAGAATTTATATATGAAAAAAGGTTAAAACGTCGTTCTCAGGGACGGATCAAAAAAAAAAAAATCAAAAGAGGTTGGCGTGGAAATAGATCCGCAAATATCAAGAGTTTGGCATTTTGGAAGTAAACAATATTCTCAAGATGCTGCAAGTCTTTCAACGTATCCGCTGTATCCGCTCCTGATAAATGTTCAGCATGTGGTTCAGTTTTTTCGAAGAGARTTAAAACGTAGAGAAGTTGAAATAACGACAAAGTGAAATGATCTTACCTCCATCGGCAGCAGCGAAAACATCTGTAAAGAAATAAATACCCAGTTAATTAATGATAAATAATTATTGCTTTCTTTCATTCTTTCATTTCTTCTTTTTATAGTCTTACCTGTGTAAGGAAGGATGTTCTCTGTCAAAGCATTTGGGTTGACCTTAGGTGAGTAGAAGGCTACAAGATACACATTACCAAGAGGCCCTCTTGAGACGCCAATTCCAACATGAGTAGTTTGGCGGTTAATAAGAACCACAAAGTCACTGTTGTCTTTGTTAACTTTTTTATGAGCCCAGTCATAATTCATAATCTTGGCATACCAAGAGACTACACAGTCCCTGATGGCATCATCTTGTTGTCCGATTTTCTTGCAGATCGTTTGGTTGTGGGTTGTAGTTTTGTCATAGCTGACTTTGCCAGCTTTGACGATTTTGTTGGCCCATTTTTGTGCTCCTAAAGTCAGAGGCCCGTGGAGCATTAAGGGACTTGCAGCGTGAGTGCGTCGGAAGTAGTTCATATAATCCAACGCCGCACTTCTAAGTTTAGCTGAAATATGAAAAAAACGTCTATAAATGACATTTACAACATTGGGAGAGGGAGAGGCGACGAATAAATAGAAAACGTGCCAGTGTGCGGTGTGTATAAATCGCGCGGGGATGGGCAGAAGCGTATAAGAGAACCATAAGTCGTAGTGTAGAGCTCTTATGCTCACTGTGCTTTCTAATAGAATAAGCGGAATTGCGACAATAAAATAGAAACTTTGGGACCGTCAATGAAAGTGTTTCATGACAGCGTTGCAAAACTCTCAACGTTTTCAAGGACACGTACTCATAGAATGTCATGGAAACGCTTTAATGCACGTCTACTAATGACTTTCTTACAAACGACTATTTCTCGTGTACTGTTGAGAAGCACTCGTATATTTAATAGAACTTACGGACTTGAAGAGGCTTTTTCGCCTTGCGGACAGCGGCTTTTGCAGGAGCGTTATATCTGACTGGCTTCATAAAGTCCTCATCTTCTTCGAGGAAGTCAGAATCATTTGATACATCATTGGATGATTTTGTTGGTTCTGTTTTGAAATTTTCAAACGTCTGATCAGAAGTTTGATGTTCTGCAAAAGATAAAAAATATAATTTGATCATCTCGTCACAAAAACAGGTGTCAGAGAATGACAGGACAGTGCTCGCTGAATTAACATCTGATGGAATAAGGAAGACTTCCCTGATTTTACAGGTCAGCATTTGATAATTGGCTTAATCATTTAGTTATATTTTTAGTTAGTAGAAATCATAATGAACGAGTAATCAAGAGTTGATTTCATTGTTAAAAGAAAATTGGGGCGAGACACCTGCAACGGTCACGTGATTGATTTCAGCCATATTGGATGACGTAATAACTTTAGAATGTTAGTGCCAATCTTACAGGTCGCAAAGGATATTTATAATCACTAAGTTATTTAGGTCTGAATTTAAAGCTATGGCGAGCATTAAATAAGCGATTTATCGTGAGGGACGAGCGATTGAGAGTTTACCGCCAAAAAAAAAAAAAAAAAGACGAAATATGCTTCTTTAAGTAAAAATAAATGAAATGTGATAATGTAAAATAATATTTACCTGAGTTACTAATATCAAAAGGATCGGCTGTTGGCGAATTATAAAAGTCATCTCTTTTGTGTAAGTCTGTAGAATATTAATGCGTGATAAAAATGTATTATTAGAGAATAAATGCATATACAAAAATATAAGTTGTTTGGAGTGGAAAGTTTGTACTACGTACTCTTGGCGTTGGCCAAAGCAGCCACAAGGATGAGAGCGATCGCGAGGAATCTCATCTCTAGTGCTGTTGAATAGAAAAGTCCCTAGCTTGCTTTTCCTCCCAACCTAAATGAAGAAAATAATATATTAGTAAAATTAAAACTAAGAAAATTGCTTCAGTGACCCGTCACTCAAACAAAGTTTGATGTGGAACGCCTATGGATTTTGGATTTCGGATTTCGGATTCTGGAGATGGATTATAGGATCAGCATTTTGATTTCGTGTTTTAGCGCAACTTAAAAAAAATCCCAGATTGCATATCTAAGATTATTTCAAATATTATCGATTCTGTACACGAAAATAGCCTTAATTTAATTCATATGATATCAAAGGATTTGATAAATTCTACAACTAACTATCTAACTAACCAACCACYTTAAAACCAGTTATCTACTTATGGTTCAACAAACGAAATATTTTTTCTTCGTGTGCAAAAACATTCTTTTAAACTTACAAAACATAACCAACCTTTCCAAAGAAGAGAAAAAATATGAATTAAACCAGTTCAAATTGTTACAAACTTTCAAAATTATTCGCAACTTAAAACGGAAGGCTCTTACGTCTTCATCGTATTTGACTCGCTTACTTAATCGCTTTAGATTTTYCAGGCTAGTTATTTTCTATTCCAAATACCTTTCTGATAACATACCTACGTGCAGATAATACATATGTATCATTAATGAGATTCCTGTTCTTTTAGTCTTTCCTTTTCGCTTAGTTTCACCCCGCCCATAATTTTATGATAACCAACAAAAAGATTGAAACAAAATATATATTAGCTTGGTGATTTAATTTTTGGTTTCTCATAAAATTATKAACGAAAGGGAAATCTTTTGAACTAGTTTTCTTGTATTTTGATGTTGGAGCAGGTTGTTTTTGGTTTCCAAACAATCAGATAATATGATAAAGCATTTCAAAATAAATAAACCAAAATTCTACTTCCGTAATAGATGAAATTATGTAAAAGAATTCATTGCATAGCTTTTGTAATTCCAAGATTAAATGCCTTCAGAGGTTTATTACATCTATTGATTATACTTGTTGTCAACATAGGACTTCATTTGGTGCAATATTCTATATTCATCCACATCAATATTCTCTATTCATCCACATCAAAGCCACAAAATATATGAACTAAAAGAAAAATATCCTAGAAATATGTTATATTTCATGAAGCTATTTTTACGAGGAAACGTTTTTMATAGATGGATGGTCAGGTAGTTCCTGGCAGACACAGTGGTATGTGGTATCTGTGTTATTGTCATATGATCTTATAACCTTTAAATACAACATGAGATGAAAACCCTGAAATCATTAWTTTCCTGTAGGTTTTAGATAATGATTGATAAATACTTCAGTTTTATCGAAGTGCAATGATATATGATGTACAAGAGTGGATACCATAAATCCAATTACAATACTGAGGGTTAGTATAAGTATAGACTAGTCATAGTATGTGATTTTGGCAATACCG